GTACTTTGAGCTGCAAACGCCATCCGAATTCGGTGTTATACTCATGGAAGACCTGCGGCAGCGTGGCTTTAAGAACGCCAATCGCTTGGAAGGTTTCGATATGGAGCACACTAAGTGCGCATTGAAAAAATTGGCGCAATGGCATGCCACTTCAGCAGTGCGCGTCGAAACTAAGGGTAAATATCCAAAAATTGTCAGCAGCGGCATTTTCACAGAAGAGTTTCTGGCGGCGATGAAACCTATGCATTTAGCGTCCATCAAGTTGTTCAATGAGTGTGTGCGTACATATGACGGACATGAGGCGTACATAGACAGCATGGTAAGTATGCAAGTACATACATACATATGTACATATGTGGGTTTGAGAACGAAATTGCAGTACTCATGAAAATAAGCTTTTTCATTAGAAAGCTTCTTATCTATTTATTCCCATTAGCTCATCTATTTACTTATGTACATATGTAGGTGTGTTTATTTACAGTGGCGGATAGATACTTCTGGTTGAGGGGGACGGGGGGGCGACTGGGTCAACTTGTCAAATAAGGTTAAATTAACTACACAAAGAAAAAAGTAACTTGATTTTTTCAAACAGCGTCATTTTCGGGGTTTCCCCGAATGATCGTAATTTACGGCTCATTCGTAATTCATAAACAAATCTTGCTGAAGTCAAATAATTTTTCCATGCAAAATTTGCCAGTAAATGCGAAATTCGAAAAAATCGAACACTTTCAAAATTTTAAATTTTTAAATCAGATTTTTAGAAAAGTTTTGGGCATGCATTCCACTAATTCTTTGATATAAAGATAAGATTATCTTAGAACATAACGAGGGCTTATAGTCAATTTTGCAATTTTCACAAGATTCAGCTTCTGATATTAAAATCCACCTAAGAATTAAGTAAGTAAGTAATAAAACCTGTCAAAATTCAGATTTATGAACTTTGATAAAATTCTCTATAAACATATTATTTCTCAAGCTATATAACCGATCTATCAGTTGGCAGCATTTTTTACTACGTCAAATAGAACATAGACTTTTTTGTGATAATTTTTTTTCTGCGCTTACAATATTTCATTCCATTTATTTCTTTCGTTATTATGTTTTTTATGGACCAATCTATAAAATAAATACAAATATGAAGGCCGTATGGGGAATTTCATTTTTAGCTAAAATTTCAAAAAAAAAACAGCCATTTGTTTGCCTGTCAGGTCTCATCGGCAAATATTCTCTTATAGGGATATATTTTGAACCTTGTGCTATAAACCTCTGTTATAAAATTGTCCGCCTACTTCTGCTTTCTCCGCTATTTAAAGTCGCAGTTTAAGGATCTTCAAAGGGGATTCCAAGCAGAAATAGTTCAACGGCTAGTTAAGGGAGAGTCGATGCTGGCATAATTAAAGATCGTATATTATTTGTCAAAAATCTGGTGGAAAAAACTCGATGCAAAGCTAGTTTCTTCCTACTGTTTTCTTCATTAGTAAAATTAAGATAAAAAATATAAGAAAGCGAATGCGGAAAAATGCGCTCGATGCTCAAGTGCTTTCGTCGGAGCTGAGTGCCGAGATTTACTGAATTATATGTCCTCAAATTTCAGTGCCAGTGAGCGCATGGGTCTTTAGCACACTTTACTGTACCGTTTACCGCCCCCATCGCGCGCCCCCCTGTAACCGCCAGCCACTGTATGTATATGTATGTACAAATTTGTTATTATTCTAGCAAAGGACTCAAGAGCGTATTTTTGATGATTTTCGTGCGATGATAGACGCCGATCCAACAGAATTTAATGTTCTAAATCACGGCGATTTTTGGGCTAACAATATTATGTTCCAGTACGATGCTTTCGGCAAGATTAAGCAAACATACTTCGTAGACTTTCAGTGCTCGCGATATGGCTCACCGGTGCATGATCTCTACAATTTGTTGCTCTCTTCAACACAATACGAAATCAAGCTGAAACATTTTGATTATTTCATTAAGTATTATCACGACCAGCTGATTGAGTGCTTGAAATTGCTAAGATATCCGAAGAAGTTGCCCGCCTTGAAGGATATTCACATAGCGCTGTACAAATATGGTGTATGGGGTGAGTATGGAAAGGAAACGAAAATTTTGTTAAAATATTTTCAAAAATTTTGTAATCGTAAAATTTTTCATCTAACGAAAAATTAGTATTTAATAAAATTTTAACATAATTTTTGATTGACTAGTAATCATCAACCGATCGCATCAACTTATTTAGCGATTTGAACGTATTAAATAAACATTGACTTATCTCCCAGGTTTAGCCGCTGCTTCCGGTCATATGGCTATTGTGTTGCTCGATCCAACCGAATCGGCCAATATTGAAAATTTACTTGGCAATACTCCAGACGCCGTGGAATTCAAAAAGCTAATGTATACAAATATGCGATATCGGAAACATGCTGAAGCCGTTTTGCCATGGCTTCATAATCGTGGTGCTTTTGAAATGTAAAACAAAAACAAAAACAAAATGCAGTGTTGTGATAACAGAATTATTGATATATTTTCTATGAACAAATAGGTGCAAACAAACATGCATGTGCATATATTTTATCAGCATAGATGCGGCAATATCTAATGAGGCGCAATATTTTTATGTATACTACATTCATATATATTATTTGTAATTTATCTAAGTAATCAAACAAAGCGTACATATATATCATATAATAAACAAGCTTTGACTCAATTGAAGGTTATTTTATTTAATCTAAGTGGAATTTCGTCATATTTTTAGGTACAGTATATTTTGCTTTGCTGCCTCTATGCTTAAGTGCACATTTAAGATACCTACCCCAAAATGCGCAACAGAGGCATTATTTTTAACATTTATAAAGAAACAGTTGCGATAGATGCATTCAACATACCTGCACATTGGCGATACCTGCCTTAAAAATTGTGCAACTAGTATCAATTATCAAAGAAAGTATTACGTTTACCTGCACAGGCACTCCAATTACCTAATTTTACAAGCTTTTATTTATTTTGCTCATCTCGCAGAACAATGAAAATGGCTATTAATTTATGTAGTTATATAGATAATTATATACCATTTGGTAAAAATTTCGCTTGCAGTAATTTCTACGTGGTAAGTGCTCCGCCAATATTTGGTTTCATAGGGACTCGGATACCTTCCTCATTGAAGTAGTAAAGAAAATTCGCTTAAGTGCCTTTTTCCGGTTAAGTACACAAGTTTTTCGTGCAAAGAAGGAAGTGCAGCCAAGCAAAATATACTGTATGTATTTGTACTTGTATATGCGTGACAGTAAAAACCCGATATGCCTCAGTACAAATGGTAGCTAAACTAATTATTAAGCTGGCGACCCTACTCATAAGAGATTGAAACTTCTTGAACTCCTCCAATTTTGTATTCGTTTTTATTTTAAGCATAATTCTATTCAAAGATATGTCTTCATTATTATTTATAGGATACAAGTGTATTTTTTCTTATGATTTGTATAACAAAACAAATTAAAAAAAAAACTGTATAGCGTTGGTCGATTTCTGAGTATGAGGCCTTATGTTGGACAAAAGGGGGAGTATAAGGACTCAAAATAGAGAAAATTTGCCAATGAGTACAGAAGAAATGGGATAAATTAACCGACGAAGACTTGCGAGCCGCTACAGCTTTTCTCTCAAAGTGTTTACCGCTGGTAAACCCAAATAAAGGCTAAAATTTAAAAAGTTATTAATAAAGTTAAAGTAAAATCTGTGGAAAATTAACAATAAAATACTTTTTTCGCAAAATCTATAACGGACCCTTTTATTTTTCAACAAAACCTGGGTGACAGTTATTCGTCGCCACTCTGTATATGTTAGTCAGCTTTGCGAGCATAAACGACGAGAACAGACCTGTTAGCAGCCCCACAAGCTGCCTAGCTACAGTCCAGTCTACTCTGAGATTGAGGACAATATGTATGAGCTTTGACCATGTATGTATATGTAGCCTTTTAATACCAACCAGCATTAAAGGGGTTGAAAATATTGAAATTGGGCAAATTTTATATAATTTATTGTTATTAAAATAATAAAGAAATGCTTTTTGAGCTCAGGTTTATTTTGAAAACATTTAAACACTTATTGCGAAAAAAAACTTAAACAATGTCAGCCTTTGGAACTTAATTGCTTGATGAAACCGTTTGGCGATGATTACGAATTTAAATCAGTAGTTTTCAACATACGTCATATTTATGAGACTTACATTTTTTTAAATCTTGTTGGCGAGCCTTAAAAGTTTTTTAAAAATTTTAAAATTTTCATGGAAGTCCTTATTTAGTACATAGAACAAAATTTATATTTTTTAAATACTGCCCTAGTCCATATTTACATACATATGTATGTATGGGTACTGTGTCAGAATATAAAAATAATCGGTCAATGACTCAAATTCTATTTCAAAATGCATTCAAGCAAATTTGTTTTAGTACTTTTACAGCTGGTTTCACCAGAAATTTAAATAGAAAATGATTTTTTATTTTGTCAATTTCCATATAAAATTACAAAAATTGAAATCATTTTTCACTTATTTTGCTTTCGTGAAATTGGCTGTTATGAATAAATATAATCGATTGTGAATTGATAAGGCTAGGATAAGATCGTTTATGATAACAAAAAATGTTATGGATGATAAATGCCAAAATTTGTTAGGTCATTGACAAACCACCTTCCACCAGTTAAATTTGCCGTAGCGTGTGTTATTCAGCTAAAAAGTCGTATGACTTAGATTAGAAATAAAAGCATTTAGAAAGCTCTGGTGATTCAATTAGAATGACAACGCGTTTTCGGGCGGAGGTTTTTGCTTATCTAATAGCCTTCCCGTTTTGATTGGAAAATGAACGCGCTGCAGTGAATTTTTACCGTACCTGTACGCTAAGCTAAAGGGATGCCTTTGTTTCCTCAAATGTATTCAGAATAAGACAAGTCTCGTTCGATTACTTAATTTTTAGTTTATTTAGTACTTATATAATACATTATACATATATGAATATACCAAAGTTTATTGATTAAATAGAAAAGTGTTGCACAATAGAAAAGTGATTGGCAATTTCGTCATATCACCATTTTTTTTTTATGCACCGAAAGCTCCACGATTACTTAGCCATGGCAAAACGGCTTCAGCATGTTTCCGATAACGCTTGTTTGTGTACATTAATTTTTTGAAATCCATTCCATCTTGCGTACTACTCAACAAATTGTCCATGCTAGCCGCTTCGGTAGGATCCAGCAGCACGATAGCCATATGGCCGGAAACGGCAGATATACCTGTAAGATACATACAAAATTTTGTTTACCAAAACTCCTTCTCTAAACTAGAGATCTGTAAGTTGATAATGAATACTTATAGTACTTCATCGAGTTAATTAATTAATTAGATCAGTACTAAAAAATACATTCAGTTGTCCACGAAATAATAGGAGTGCAATGTTTTAACCAGTTTTGACAATTTTTCTTTTATTTATTTTGTTTGTTATTAACCGACTTCAAAAAAATGAGAAGGTTATCAATTCGTCGGATTTTTTTTTTATGTATGTCACCGCTAACTTTGGACCACGTCAACCGATTTCGATAATTCTTTTTTCATCGGAAAGGTAGTCCCATACTAATTTGGTTTATATCCGATTGTTGGATCATGCAAAAATTCACGGCATTCCTGAATTTTTATAGGAAAATAGGTTGTTTTTTTTTGCTTAAAACTTTTTTTTTATAAGTCTAGCTGGTTATACAGCCAAAACCGTATACATAATTTCGCATTTCAAAATTTGTACAAAAATTATAAAAATGCTGCCAACTTTCACCAAAATTCCAAACTTTTTAATCAGAATCTTTAGAAAAAGTTTGATATGCAGTTTCGTGGCCCATTAAATTGTACATAGTATAAAAAAATGCAAGTTTCAACCTGCGAAAAAAATTCCTCGTATTTTTTGGCAATTTTTTCGCATGTCTTTTATATGTCTTCCATATAAATAAAAAGTGTCGAGCATACTTTGTACACTAATGGGCTATAAAACTGCATTGCAAAATTTTTTCTATGTAAAGATACTGATTGAAAAAATTTAAAATATTTGTACAAAGTATGAAAAGTAAATTTATTTGGTGTTTGTGGTATAACCAGCTAAGACTTTTATACAAATATAACTAACATTAAATAAATAAAATAAAAATTGTCTAAACTTCTTCAAATATCGCACTCGAATCATTTTGTGATCAACTGTAATTACGCCCCTCCCATACTCACCCCAAATGCCATATTTGTACATCGCAATGTGAATATCCTTTAAGGTGGGCAACTTTTTCGGATAGTTCAGTAATTTCAAGCACTCAACAAGTTGATCGTGATAATACTTAATGAAATATTCAAAATGTTTCAACTTGATTTCGTATTGCGTTGAAGAGAGCAACAAATTGTAGAGATCATGCGCAGGTGAGCCATATCGCGTACACTGAAAGTCTACGAAGTATGTTTGCTTAATCTTGCCGAAAGCATCGTACTGGAACATAATATTGTTAGCCCAAAAATCACCATGATTTAGAACGTTAAATTCATTCGGATCTGCGTTCATCACCGCACGATATTCTTCAGTAATACTATCGAAGGAACTTTCCTTGAATATGACTTGAGTAAGTTTTTACTTTTTAAAACATTTACATACATATGTTCTCACATACAAACATATGTATGTATGGATTTACTTACTATGCTATCTATGTATGCCGCATGACCGTCGTATGTGCGCACACACTCTATGAACAACTTTCCAATCGATTCACGCATTTGCTCCACCATCACGAAGAAGTCTTCAGTGAACATACCAGTGCTGACAACTTTTGGATATTTACCTTTAGTTTGAATACGCACCGCCGTAGCGGCATGCCATTGCGCCAATCTTCTCAAGGCTTCCTTAGTGTGCTCCATATCGAAGCCTTCCAAGCGATTAGCGTTCTTAAAGCCACGCTGCCGCAGGTCTTCCATGATTATAACACCGAATTCGGATGGCGTTTGCAGCTCAAAGTGCTGAGGCGAGAACTTCACTTCCATACCGGCATCTCTATATAGCTGTTCAAGCTCAGGTATCACATCCCGATAAATGGCACTCTCTGTGTCAAACATATTGTTATCCGACATCAACTTCTGCACTGATTCGATGGGCAGCTTCAACATATAGGAAATTTGCTTTGTTTTTCCAGCTATAATTCGGAACAAAGATTTTTTTTTTTATTGGCATATTTCACCTTTTTTTAAACCTACTTGATAGAGTTACGAGCGTAAATTTCCACAAGTATTAAGTTCAATTCTTTTTTTTATCAAAATTTAACCTCTACATACTTATAAGTTCCAATTCGAGTTGCACCAGGGCCATGAGCGTGGCATAATTTTCGCCAGCCCCTTGTGCCGGTTTGGCGTCGAAATTTCGGATGGCTTTGAAATCGGGCACATTCTTCTTGAGCAAATCCACAAATAGGTCAGCCTTCAGCCAGTCGGGTATTTGGCGCGCAGCAGCAGGGGTAGCACTCGCAGCCGCATCTGGTGCGCTATTTGGCGTCTCTGATTCTGATTTGCTAGCTGCATTAGCATCCGTTGTTGACATGTTTTTGTTATTATGTATTACTATTCGCTCGCGTACAACTGTTTCCACTCTTTTTGCGCTCTTTTCAACAAATTTTACTAACAACGTTGTTTTTTTTTTTTTTAAACAATAGTATACATATATGCGATGAGCAGGGCACGTCTGTTGCGATCGCCGTCCAGCTTAAAACTATTCGAAAAAAAGCTTTGCTCTGATATTAATAAACAATGTAATTTATCAGACGACGTTTTGAAGTTATACTTACGTACATACTCGTACATATGTACATACAAACATTCATAGGTAAGTATTTATACAAATCTGATCGGTTAGCGGTAGTATGATTTGCATTTTTGTAGATACTCGTATACTCATTTACACGCATGTAAATTCGTTCGTAAATTCCCAAATTTCTCTAATTACAATTCAGTTTCAGATTTAATCTGTCTTTTCTTATAAAGCTAGATATCTGCACGAAAATGTTGATATTCTTCAGAAACTATTTACGTACTGAAATCTGATCAAGACAAACAAGTCTACCCTTATTAATTCATTGACGACACCTTCAGGAAGGTGAGGTAACCTTAGAGCCATTTATAAGAAATAAATTCGGTAATCAAACGAATTCCCCCCAAGGTCCCTCATATCTCTGCAGACGTCACTAAGAGGAATTCCCGCTTTAGCTGGGTGTGACGCTAGTAAACTATATCCTATGGAAAAATGTGCAAAGAGAGTTCACAGTCTTTCGGCTGGGTTTCACGCCTCTTCATCCATCCATCATCCACTTGTTTTTTTTTTGATAGTGACCCGGAACCTCTTTTATGTTTTATTCGGGAACCGATGTAGTCCGTATCGTCTACATTTCTTTTAGCTGCCGAACTGTAAGCATCGCAGGAGATAAGCCCCAAGTAAATATATACATACCTTTTTCCAACTCAGGAAGTCAATAATAGGTATGCAAATATGTACATTAGGCCGGTAATTTTTTTTAACTATCCGCATATAGCATAGGAGGATTATACGTTCAATTCTAAGCAAATTTGCCGAAGCAACCATGGGTCTAAAATCAATTTGGAGTTTGCCAAGTTACGAAAAAAGGTTTCGAAGAAAATGTGAAAAATTCACTGTTGCGCACTCTGGTGGAAGTTTTAAGAAAAAGATAAGTGCAGAAATGGATTCCTTTTACCAAAAAAAAAACCCCTATGGCATGTTTTTATAGGTATAAAATTTAAGCACATCTTTACAACGCTTCAGTAAAATGCTAATAAACCTATTTTCGCATTTTAGCAAACTCCAAATTTTCTTAGAATTACACGTAGAACTTTTATGTGCTGTACGCGCGTGGTCAAAAAAAATCACCCACAGAAATCGACCCGCCCTAACATATATACATACATACATGCAAACACGACGACTCAAACAAATGTTCACAAGTAATTTTTTTCTTTTTTAATATTCGCAATGGTTTTCAAGTAAATTTTTGTTTAAAATTTTTTTTCTATAAAAACAAGTTTTAATCAAAATTTCGAACTTTTTAAACTGAATCTCCAGAGCATTTTTGGGGTATGCAGTTTTATAGCCAATACAATTTTAGGGTATTGGTTTCGTGAATGTTTTTTTTGCAAACGGTCTTACGCATTTTCTTCCACAAAAAAATTATTTTTATGTACGTATGTGTTTGGAAAAAAGCTTACCACTTGCATTTTATTACAGCCAAAAATTTTGTAGACATTCAGATTAAAATGTTCGAAATTTTATTGAGAAGTTTTGTATAAAGTTTGAAATTTTGATTTACATA